AACCTGAATCTATCCCTGCATAGAGAGGTTTAATAATCAATCTCAACTTCATTACTTGTGGTCCCTGAAAAATGAGTTAGCACTTGTATTGATTAGGCTGGAAGAATACATAGATATATTAGAAAATGAAAATGATATTAATTTTTTTCTAACAGAATTCCAACTGTTACCACTGTTTTGAAGTGTCTCCCAGTTGTATTCCCTTCTACAGATCTCTAACATTCCAAACTAATAATTCTTACATTTTATTAAGTTACCTTTCTTTCTTTTTCTTTCTTTCTTTCTTTTTTGAGACAGGTTCTTGCTATGCAGTTCACACTGGCCTTGACCTCATTTAGTAGCCCAGGCGGGTCTTAAACTTACAACGATCCTTCTGCCTCAGCCTCCGGAGTGCTGGCACCACTCCGGAGGCTGCACCACCATGCCAGGCCTGCACCACCATGCCAGGCTTTTAAATTACTTCTGAATTTGAATGGTTACTTAATGACAGATAAAAGTTCAACTTCTCTATCTGGCTTTCAAACTTACCACCAAGCACACACAAACACACATTTTAAATAATTAAATATATTTTCTTATTTTCAGTATTTTTTATTTATGCAGTGTTTCTTTGATGTTTCTCCATCTGAACCTTCCTTAGTCTTCCTAGAAGTTCTTAGCCTGAACTTCTGATTAGTCAAGACTGCATTTAAAACTATCCTATTCTGTTATTATTCACATTGCCTAGTTTCTGAGTATCATGTATTTTGGGCAAGGTGTGGTGGTTCATGCCTGTGATCCCAGCACTCGGGAGGCTGTGGCTGGACGACCATTATAAGTTTGAGGCCAGCCTGAGCTACGTGATAAGTTCAGAACCAGCCTGAAATGCATGATGAAATGCCATCTCAAAAAAAAAAAAAAAGAAAAAAAGAAAGGTCATATATTTTGGGCCTATAATCTCAAACATTTCAAAATTTAGGGACACATCATTATTTTTCTCCCCCATGAGAATATAACATTTTGAGAAACTGCCAAGATCCATAGTATCATGGTTACTTTTCTCTGGTGGCTGAGACAAAATAGGTGACACCCAAAATGAAGAAGAAAAGGTTTATTTGGCTCACTGTTTTTGTTTTGGGTTTTCTTTCTTTCTTTGGTACCAGGGATCAAACTTACTACTTCATATTTGCCAAGCATGTGCTTATTTAGCCGCTGAGCTAAATCCTTGCCCTAGCTGTTTGTGGAAGTTTCAGCCTATAATCAGCTGGCTCCAAGGCAGGGTGGTATGGCACCAAGGCAACACTTCAAGTCAGCAGCCAGCAAAAGCAGCCAGAGCAAGGTGGTGTGGGGTCGGGAAACATGACAGGACAAGCCTCTTCTCCTCCCTTATATCTACTGTAAACAGGCTACCCCCACCCAAGGCAGGTGTAGCACTCACACCACCTCTGTACCCTCCTCCTGCACAGGCTGAGGATATTTATAAAGTAAGGATCCTGGCTTCCTGCTAAGTCCCTTAAACTTTTAAACTTCTCAAGTTGACACAACTATCAACCATAACACATAGCACTGGGTTTTTGGTTTAGGTGAACTACATTTAGGCCTGTACTTCAAATAATAACCCTTCCTTTTCTTCAATGCCTCAGAACTTCTCCAATGCCTGGATGCCTTTTGGTGACACTGGTAGCATTCTGCAAAAACAATTATACAAATATACTCCCTAAATTTAAAAGTAAAGTCTTTCAATGTATACATATACCGTACTTGTAGATATACATAGTTCAAGGTGATTCTGAATAGTATTCTGTGGCCCAAAAATTGGTTACATCTTTACATTTTCTTTTCCCCTTAACAATTTCATACATAACTCTGAATCTGGAGATTAATAAAGAAAACTGACTAATACACAAAGAAAATAAGAGCATCTTTTCCAAAGCTTAAAAAAAAATAGCCAGTGCTTACATCTTTCCTCTCAAACTCTGTTTTGGAATAATATTTTAATTTTGTCAAGAAAGGATTAAGTGGGGAAAGAAAAATTTTTATATCCAAAAACCTGAAGAATAATTTTCGAGAAAAACAGTCCATTAAGTTGAAAAACCTGACATCAAGTTCTGGTGATAGTCTTGGGAAACACTGCCATGTGGAAGTAAATAAGTTTCTGCTTCAACCAAATCTCCTTTACCCTTACTGAGACTACTGCGAAAGGAAAATTTGTTGTGTCTTTCAAAAATGTCCCAAAACTACAGCTTTAAAGCTAATCTCGTAATTTTTTTAAAGTAAGTGAAGCTTTTTCTCCAAGCTATTAGGTATTCCCATCATAAGACAACATTTTATGTGTGATTAACAGAATCTCTATAGAGCAGCTACAAGTCAAATGCCAAATTTATCTGTGTGAAGACTTCTGCAACTGTAAAATTATGAAGATGTTCCTATCAAATGACTCTGCAGTTAAGACATCACATTTCTATAATGTAAAACAAGAACACTGATTCAAGTGAGCATAGGGAATCAGGTTGCTACCACCAAAACATAACTTGTTATAGCCTGCTTAACTCATTCAGTTGACAAAAAATGTACAGAACCACTTATTGTTTAACTGTCTTCAAATAATCCTTTCAAATTCTTCATATTGTACCTTCCCTATTCCATTTCTTGTAAGAAGTCTTGCTAAAAAAATTGGCCTGATCATTTATTTCACCTTTTTTTTCACCTTTCAAATCTATTTGATTGCTTCTACAGTATTTGTTCGGTGCAATGCTGAACACTTCCAGGCTTAATATAACAATGTTTCTTGGCCAAATTTTCACAGCCCTTTATTTGTGCCACTTTTACAATATTCATCTTTTATATGGCATAGCACAGTGTTTAACATGTTTATGCTGGCTTGAATCACCAGTGGTGCATTCATGACAGTCCCCATTCCATGCCACCTGATGGTTCAGAGCCACCAGCAGCAAGACATACAAATTATGGCCCTGTCGTGAACATACTAAGCATACTGGACTGCTATTTACTATTTGGGAGACCATCGGCAAGTCACTCCATGTTAACTAACTGCTTTAGCTTCCTATTAGTAAAATTAGGTTAACATTGTATCTGCCTTTAAAGATTCTTGTTAAGAAAAAAATGAGCTAATGTACAAAAAGTAGTAGGGCTTGTTGCATATTTAAGTATTATTATAATACTGTTTACTTAATTCTAATCTCGACGTTTTATTCTAAGGTTCTTTTTGCGGAACCAGAATTATTTTTTCTTCTCTGAATCTTGTTAAACTTAACAATGTGCTAAATAGGCACATGCGCACACACACACATGAACACGTAATTGTTTAATTAATGTTGAGTGCTTTGGAATTGTTCTGAAGGAGCTTTGTAATTGCTCTCTTGTCAATCTGCACATCTGTGTTTTAAGTTTTGAACAGTTTACAAAACTGTCAACCAAAAAACACCCTTAGTAATAATGGAGAGTAAATGAGTACTGCAGATGGACTCAGATAAGGATTAAAAACCCTACCATATAGTAACTCGAATCTGATAGTCATTAACAAAAGCACTGCTGCCCTTTAGCTATTAGAGAGCCAAGATCAACTAATCTTGTGTATCCTTGCCTACCCTCTGAAGGGGAGGCACTCAGTTTCTCATTATCAATATAGAGCTTCACCATAAGGAGACCATTCTTTTAAGGAAATTTTACTTGAAACTACATTGTTTATAACATTTCACAGGAATTGTACATTTTATTCTATAATGTATCTATGTTTGATTATGTTTAAAAATAGATTTTCCCCTAATATGAGTAAAATTCTTGGTCTGGCGAGTGGCAACATGTTTATCTATTTGCAGTTTCTGCAGCTTCCTACTCTCTACTGCCTCCAGGTGCAGCCATACCTCATTTCAAGAAAAACAATTCTAGAATGCATTTCCCACACAATACCGCTTTTGTGTCCTCTAAAAATTACTCAGCATAGCCAGAGAAGTTTGTCATATACAAAAGTGTAAAAGCAACAACTGCATTTTAATAGTGCTTAATTCTTTGCAAAATTGTTTGTCTTATTTAATATTTATGTTAAAATACCAAATTCAATCATAACATCGGAATCATGTATCAACTAAATCCTACTGAAGGCTGTAAGTGAATTTTCACTTTTCTCCAAAGTGCAAATGTTCTGCGAGAACAGTAAGAATTCCATTAAATTTCTAAAGTACAACGTTAATGCATTCATTAGGATAGTAAATGCTTGTGCTAAGGTCATCAGGTATGATGTTTACAATACCCGATGGACACAAAAGACATGTTCCTCTTACACATTTTTTAAATGTAAGTGTTTTATATTCTAACTATACCACTACTGTTGTATGTCTACTTGCAACAACAAAATTGTGCATTGGCTTTGTGCTTCAATCAAAACAATTCTCTGGCAACGCTTTTCATCAAATGAAATTCCAGGCCTACACAATTTCTAACATACTGGACTTTAATGTCACTAGGAATATGTTATATAAAACTAAATAATCAACCTATTATACTTCATAAGTCCTTAATACAAAATAAATTTTTAGATATTTTAAGATAGCTTTTCAAGTAGAAAGTGCTCACTACATCTGCCTTTTTAAATCAATAATCTGGAAATGTGATACTGCTGCACCGCCATACATTTAAGTGCAGTCAGGTCTGTGCTATTCGATACTTTCCAAATTCATGCACTGTATATAATCAACCCAAAAGAAGTCCTGAAGCTTAGGCAGTAGGATGGGGCTCAGGTGCTTCAGAGAAGCAGCAGGTAGCCTCACGCACAGCAGACCCCCAGGTGAAACCCCTGGAAAGACAATGGGGAGAAACTGGGCTGATTTTGTTTTAGGAATACGGATATGGTGAGACAAACTCATGCTGGTGTGGATGATGCTTAATAAGCCCACTTGTACAAGTGGGAGCTTTCTACCGGGGCCTACGAAAAAGGCACCATTGCAGGAAAACACGTTCAGGAACACGCAGATTATCACAGCTAGCTCTAGAGCTCCACTTACCGTGAACCCCCGACCCAGTTCATCTCTCCAAACCTCTCCAAAGGGAATCCACTAATATCCCAACAGCTGGAGCCTAAACTCCGTAGCTCTGGGTCAGGCCGCTGCTTCCCAGGTCTGTCAGACAAACGGCCTGAGCACGAACTCCCAACAGGCCCTGCGCCTAAACAGGCTTCTTCCGCTCCAGAGCCCAAGGCGCAAACTCCCGGCAGCCACTGCGAACCAGAAGACACTCTTTCCGGTCTAGAGTTTGAGGACAGCCTTCCGGCCGCCTCTGCGGTTGCCTGAGCTTTTCCTGCGGAGGCCAGGTGACCTGATAGACATGGGGTGAGCAGCCGGACTACAGTCTGGCTTCAATCCTGGTCACCACGCTCAGTCACTCAGTGGGACTGACTATGGTTTCCTAACTCCTCCAAGGCAAGCTTAAATACTTGAAAATATCTGATGTGGCTCCAGGTTTGAAACACTATCATCACCATAATTCTGGGTTGGCCTCTGTTGTCTTTCTTAAGTCAGAGCTGACTTGGATAAGAAAAAGAAGTACGGTTAAAGTTACAGATCTCTAACTCTAAAAATTGTGTTTCCATTGTTTTGTGTTATGACAAATTTTAACCGTATTCTTAACGTACAGCTTTAATATTTTGTGAAACATTTGTTAAAAGAAACATCATACTGTAGCCATTTACTGTGTATTCTATACTTTTGTGAGTTTTTGAGACATCTTAAATCAAAATGTAATACAGCTCCAAAGTCCCAAAGGCTTTAAGTTCTTTACTGGAAAAAAATTAATTCCAAAACAGAAATTGGATTTTGCTGTTCATTTTGTATTGTGCTTGTATCACAAAGCATTTGTTTTGTAAACTGTTCTGTAATACAGGTTGTGAACAAACAAACAGTAAATGTTTAGGTTTTTAAAAATTTGATTATGGTAAAACACATGGCCATCAATCAGTGTGTAACCTCTGAATTCATGTTATAATACATTTTCCTTCAGTCATTATGACATACTACCTAAAATAGAATTATGTCTCAGGGTAGACATCTTGTTTAATATATATCCTAATTTTTAATAACAAAAATCAACTAACATATACCTGGAATTGAATTATACCGAGTTAATTCAGCATGTCAGAGTAAATTAGCCTTCTGCATGCAATGGCCATTGGTTTTCAATAACTAAAGCCATGCAATCAACAGGAGCAGTGGCCTTGTGTGTCAGCCTTTCTTACTTTCAACAGCCTAAAATTTGTTGACTGCATTAACTAGACGAAACACTTTGCTAAAAGGTTGTCTGATTTTTTTTCCTTCTTTGTGTGTGAAAAGACATAAAGGGAAAGTTGACCAATTTGTTAAGGAGTCAAGCACTGAGAGGTTGAGGCTGGAGATTTAGCTCAGCGGCATAAGCTCCTGCCTTGCAAGCAGGTAGTCCTGAGTTCGATCCCTGGTATGGATTAAAAAAAAAAAAAAAAAACAACGGAGGGCTGAGTGGAACCATCTCTTCTCCCTAACTAGAATCATTGCTTTCCTCTCGGCATAGGGAGGTGATAGGAGTGGGAAATTAAACTTAAGAAAATATTAATGTACAAGACACATGCTTGGACAAGATGTTTACTTGGTTTTCCTTCATAGGAAAGGACATGTTCTTAGAAACATGATATGTGTCATGTAGTTACGTGTGAGAGCTGAAATATTGATCAAAAAAGCAATCTTCATAATGTTTATGCCTTCATGAGTAAGGCTAGCATGACTAATAGATAATAAGAGTCAAACATTGTGCTATTTTAGGACCAGTACAGTAATTAGGTAATCTCTTGAGTAAGTAAATGGTTAGGAAAAACAATGATACACATGGACTACTATTTAACATTTTGAGAAGAAAATTAATTCAATGATTATGTCATCCTCTTCATTATAAAACTGATGTTTTACAGGTTATTAGGCACATGTATGTGTAGTTTCTAATACGTGTCCTCTAATATATATGTGGTCCTGCTGTTACATAGATATTGACAATTTCCATGAGAATATACTTATGAGTAGAGTGATTTAGAGAATTATTTTTAGTTGTTCATTTAGAAAATGTTTATTTTTCTCGTATAGATATAATTAACAGTTGAGAAGCTTGAGTGGAAATTAAACTATTTACTACTATAACAAGTGGAAGTTGTTTTAAAACTTTTCCTAGTTTGGAATTCAAATTAAAGTAACATTCTCTGTGTTTTAATTGCATACTGCTAGTATGAAAAAAATGAAAGCACCCTAACCTAAGTTTTTCTTAAAATAGTTTGTACAGTCACTTGTTGCTTAACAATGGAAATACCTTCAAATAAATTTATCTCAGACAGTTTTGTCACCATGAAAATATCTTAGAATATACTTATACAGCACTAGATGGCTTAAGTAAGTCAAACCAATGGTTTCTTGATGCAATCAAGAAATTAACACAAAATGCCTGAGGCTGTGTCTGGTATCACATAGTATACTGTTTTACAATAAACTTTTTTTTATAACATCTCAGTCTTGTGGTTAAGATCAAGTGTACAATAACTTTTTAAATATTCACTGTACACTGTAAAATAAAGATAAATATAAATAAATAAACCGGTAACATAGTTATTCAAAATCAATTATTAACTATCTGTATGTGCTGTGCTTTTGTAGAACTGGCAGTATAGTAGGTTGTTTATACCAGAGTCATGACTGCAATGCAATGCAATGCATTGCACTGTGACATTGCAATGGCTATGTCATGAAAATTTTGCAACTCCATTATGATCTTATGTGACCACTGTCATACATGTGGTTCATTGTTGACAAAACATTATGCAGTGTATGACTCTTTTTTATTATAATTGCCTGTGTTGCTTCTTGTTATCTTAAATCCTTTTTTCATTATCTGAAGCCTTGAATCTAGTCTCAAATTTTAGGACCAACCCTGGCTTTTATGATCGGGATAGAATGAGAGAAGTGGAATTTAAAGGATTAAAGTGAATTCTCTACCTGAGATCCCAAGTGAGATCTTTTGACATTGATTTTTTTCACAGCCCTACCAACTAAAAGTTCCTTGTACCCTAATTCTTGCAACTAAATTTCTGTCTTGATCACTTTCCTCATTCCTAGTTCCTCTCACAAAGTTCCTATCACCCAAGGCATTCAAAGCTTGTTCCTGCACTGTCTTACTACAAGTTGGTAAATTAGCCTACCAACTGCTGCCTTGTTTGGACCTCTAGTGTTTTTTGCTTCCAGATTCCCCACTCTCCTGCTTTTCCCCTGATATGAATGCCCCTGGTTATTTGCCAGTAATTGTCTTAACTGCCAGCAGCTGTCTAATGCAGGTATCCTTCCATGTACCATGGTCTGCCTGATTGAACATCCTGCCATCACCCCCAGTTAAGCCTGGCCCCTAACCTTTCCTGTTACTTTTTTAGTTGACAGGAGATGTGTCATAAGTTATTAAAATTTGCAAATGTAAGGCAGTCTTATTTTTCTTAAACCAAAAGCTTGATTTGCGAAATAAAGTGTTTTGACAATAACCACTGTGACCTTCTATGATCCGTACATGTAGAAAGTCTTAATGGAATAATAAAAATATGATATTTCCAGATGTCAAACTTTTGTAAATTTGTCACTTATATATTAGTAAATGTGTTCAACTGAATGTAAACAAATGAAGAAACATGCAGTGATCCTTATAATTAATATAGCAAAGGAGTTTTAAAAGTTGGAGAATATTTTTTGATTGTAAAAGTGAGGATTGTACTTTATTCACAATAAACTGAATAATTAAGGTCGTTCAACTGTGGAATAGGTTTTATACTGTATTACAAAAGTTTGCAAACTTCTCTAAAGAGCTAGGTAATAAATATTTTGGTCTCTGTTGCAGCTGCTCTACTCTGCTGCTATCGCATGAAAAAAGCCATAGATAAGAAGAAAATAAATGTAACTGTGTTCCAGTAAAACTTTTGTAAAAGACAAGAAAGGACCTCAAAAAATTTTCTCCGTCATTTTCCAACTACTCTTATACACCCAAATGGTTCCATTTTGATTTTAGAGTGATCTAACTCTGTGTGAAAACACGAGGGAGTGGTAGGAGTGAAACATTGCTCTCATTATCAGTCACCTGGTAAACAAATAGGAATGCATCAGTGCTCTGGTACTAAAAATAACAGATGTAGAGCTGGGAGATTTTATTCTAAGCAGAAATAAATGTAAGAACTCAGTGGGCAAAAAAAAAGGGCTTCAGGTGTGGTAAAGAATATTTTCTGTATTACAGACAACTTCTGTTTATTTACATACAAGGAACACCCTCAGTGACATGTTCTGGGACCAGATGTGAAATTATAAAACAAGGAAAGGAAAGAAAAGAAAAAGAGCTGCCAGTGTTTAGCGTTTGATACTTTTCCCCATCGCCCCATCCCACTTGTCACTTTCTTCTCTGACCTTTTATCATATTTGCTTTACATCACTTCTCCTATCTCTCCTCATTTACCTCCCTGGATTCTTTTCCTTAGTCTCATTAAAACTCTTGCAGATCTTCCTTTCTACTTGTCTTCCCCTTGCGGTATCTACCAAAAAAAAAAAAAAAAAAAAAAAAAAAAAAAAAAAATCCTTGGAGAAGGGATGTATATTCTGATACTTTAGCAGGTTTCCGAGTGACGCTGAGCATGCTCAGTAACTATGACAGGTTTTGTTCACCAGCGGCTGGCCTGATTTGACCTCTCCAAAAATAGACATTTGACTCTCTGAACTCCTGTTTAAGGATGTAATTCGTTTTGCTCCTCGTTTTCAAGGCTCAGAGGGAAGCAGCGAGGATTCCAAGGTCCCACCGTCCTCACAGCCAATGAAGGGCCAGCGAGGGAGGAGCCTGGCGCAGCTAGAGCTTCTAAGGAAATCATCCTCCCTCTGTGCCTGGCTTCTGAGCTCTGCTGCATCTGTCACAGCAGAGCAAAATAATAAACCAGTAGAGGTGAAACGCTGAATGCTTGGAATGCTGTAGCACTTTCTGAAACATTTGCTGAGGGTTCCCGTGGAGCACGCGCTTTTCAAACGAATTCTTTTTGAAGCTGGTTTGGGTAACTGGGAAAATGATACATATGCTAAATACAGCCGCTGATCGAGTGAAGTGGACCAGATCCGGTGTTGCTAAGAGGGCTGCCTGCCTGGTGGCTGCGGCATATGCTCTGAAAACCCTCTATCCCATCATTGGCAACCGTTTGAAGCAATCTGGCCAAAGGAAGAAGAAAGAAGCTTGCCGGGCTGCAGAGAACAGACAAGTGCTGCATTGCACCGAGACCATTTGTAAAAAACCTTCTCCTGGAGTGAATGCAGATTTCTTCAAGCAGCTACTGGAACTTAGGAAAATTCTCTTTCCAAAACTTGTGACCACTGAAACAGGATGGCTCTGCCTCCACTCAGTGGCTCTAATCTCAAGAACCTTTCTGTCTATCTATGTGGCAGGTCTGGATGGGAAAATCGTAAAAAGCATTGTGGAAAAGAAACCTCGGACTTTCATCTTCAAAATAGTCAAGTGGCTTATGATTGCCATTCCTGCTACCTTTGTCAACAGTGCAATAAGGTACCTGGAGTGCAAGTTGGCTTTGGCCTTCAGAACTCGCCTTGTAGACTATGCTTATGAAACCTACTTTGCAAATCAGACTTACTATAAGGTGATCAATATGGATGGGAGGCTGGCAAACCCTGACCAGTCTCTTACTGAGGACATCATGATGTTCTCACAGTCTGTGGCTCATTTGTATTCCAATCTGACCAAACCTATTTTAGATGTAATTCTGACCTCCTATACACTCATCCAGACTGCTACATCCAGAGGTGCAAGCCCAACCGGGCCTACCCTGTTAGCAGGACTTGTGATATATGCCACTGCTAAAGTGTTGAAAGCCTGCTCTCCCAAATTTGGTAAATTGGTGGCTGAAGAAGCTCACAGAAAAGGCTATTTGCGTTACGTACACTCCAGAATTATAGCCAATGTGGAAGAAATTGCCTTTTACAGAGGACATAAGGTAAGATGGAAATTAAGGTGATGAGTGAAATGTGAGACTCTAGCCACTGTAGTGCTAGATACCATCTGTTGTGTTAACGGAGCCACTTGTTTAGCATTTTACATTCCTCTGATATCTAAGCTTCTATTAAAATGTGTACTTCATTGTTGTTTTAAATCACAAGCTGTTAAAAAAATACAAGTGCAGGCTCTACTAAGGTTTCATCAGAATAAAATTTCAGCACTTCAAGAAAAAAATCTACATAGATTGTTACTCAATCAAAATTATCTGAAAGTATTTTCTTGAAATTTAAGTCCTGCTTAGTGGATGGTCTTAAAATGTGAAGAAAATATGTATTTGGAAAGTAAGAAAAAATATCTATTGAGACAGAAAATTTAGGAGGATAGTTGATGTTTTTGTTTTTGTTGTTGTTTCTTTGTTGCTGACAAGGGGGAAAACTCCATGCTTTCGCAGAGAGGACACTTTTGACAATTTTGCATGTCTGATTAATAATGGCTAAGAATTAGTAATGTTCTAAGATTAATCATGTTCTAAGAATTATAAGAAGACTGTCTCACAAAATGACATTTCCATTACTCTTAATTCATGTTCAGCACAAATATTTTGACACAAAGACGTAAAATTAAATTTTGTTCAGCTTTAAAGAAAAAGCTAAAATAAGGGAATAAATGAATAAGAGAAAGGAAGTTCCATATATTATTTTAAGTTGTATAAAAATTAATCCAATTACATAAATTTGTAATATGCATAAAAGTAAACATTGAAAGTGATGCTTGAAAAAGGACTTGGCAAATGAAATATCGAGATATTCTAAAGTAGAAGATGGTATTTTAATGATAGAGAAGTCTTACTGAAAAAATATCAGCAATTATCAGAGTTTTATGATACTGGAACCAACTGGACAATTTAGAATCTCTACTTCCACTTGAAAATTGGCCTCAGTATGTTGTGTTAATTATGCTGATTTATCATTGTTTTTGAATAGTTTAATACAAAAAGTAAATTATGGTGTACTGTTTCTTCCATAAAAAAAAGTTCAAAATTGAATAAGTTCAAAAGTGATGTCAATCCTATATGTGCCATATGTTTACTTTTAGAGTTTTTGTTGTGATAAAACATTATATGAATCTAATATTGTTTATACATATGTTACAAAATATAATTTATTGTTAATATCTTTAATTTTGAAACTATAAATCATATATATATGCATGCTAAGCAAATGTTGTACCACTGAGCTATATTCCAACCAATTTATATGTATTTCATACTTAATTTTTTCAAATAATACAGCTGTAACCAAAACTAATGGTTAATTATAATATTAATCTGTCTTTATTGATTAAGACTTGTAAATAATACTATGCTATGTAAAAGACAGTAATACAGTATATCCATAATATAAAGTCCTCAAGTATATGTGGTATATTCATTACTCATGCTGGATTAATTCTAATCTGTTTCCTTCTATAGGTAGAAATGAAGCAACTCCAGAAAAGTTATAAAGCTTTAGCTGATCAGATGAACCTTATTTTATCTAAACGCTTATGGTACATCATGATAGAGCAGTTCTTGATGAAGTATGTTTGGAGCGGCTGTGGACTAATTATGGTGGCTATACCTATTATCACTGCAACTGGCTTTGCAGATGGTGGTAATGACATTTATGCTTAATATTGACTATATGTTTAACATTGTTTCTCCTGAAGGTGTCATTGATGATTTTGTGTGGGTGAAACTGTGTATATAGCTAGTATTCTGAGTTTTTAGTGGTCAGAAAAAATGAGTGTTCAGTAAAGAGACTGGAAGTGTGAAAGAAGGGAGACAAGTCACTAGGAGGTCTTTCCCAGTTCTAAAACATTTTACTCTGGGATTTTACTTTGAGCAGTTTTAACTGTACTGTCTAATACAGAATGGTTCTCTAGCTTACATATATCCTCAAAACGTATCCAGAAAAAGTATAAAGTATAACCGAGGAGAATGTTTCATTCTTCACGTCCCATACATTTAATCTATAATATTCTATAACTGAATTTGCCCTGATTTCTGATTTGAAGAGTTAGTTGAGTACATTGGGAATGTTATTTCAGAGGTCTTAAATGTGGTATGAAGTTTCCTCTACTTGTAGGTAATACAGATAACCTCCTATGTAGCACAATTTGGTGGTGTGGTTTCAAGCTATAGTTGTCTGACTCTATCCAAACTGCTCTAACAGTTCTTAGCAATATATTTCATCCTTTGGAATAACTAAGAAAGAAGGGCAAAGAAAAAAATATTAAAACACTGAACAGGAGTTTGCATATTAATTGGCCTTCCATGTCCATTGGTTCACATCCAAAAATTCAACCTAACACAGATCAAAAATGTTTGGAAAAAGTATGTCTTTAACAAACATGTACTTTTTTCTTGTCATTATTCCCTAAAGACCATAGTAGAATAACCATGTACAGAGCACTGGTGTTGTGTTAGTGTATTGCAGGTAACCTAGAGATGATTTAAAGTATGTAAGAGGATGTAAATTGTGTGCAACTGCAAGCCCATTTTATGTAATGCACTTGAGCATCTGTAGATTTACTATCTCCAGAGGTTCCTCTTCCTCTGTGGATATCAAAGGATCACTAACTGAAGTAGCAGTATTTTCTACTGTTGACCCAAAATAAAACATCCTCCTTAAAATCCACTTGAGCAAAATTGGCCTTAGGGTTGAAGGAACCAGACAAAAGCACAGACTTCATAGCAAGAAGAGTTCTATTTAGTTCCTGGCTCCTGCTCTTCCTGTTTAGATCCTCTTAGCTATGGTAATGAACCTCTCTAAGCTTCGGTTTGCTTGTCTATAAAATGAGAATCAGAAAGGCTACTGCAGAGGATTATTGTTTGGATGAACTAGAATGATGTTTATAATACAGAGTGTGTTGTATTTGATATATGGTGACAGTTACTTAGAAAACAAAAGACATGGATAAAGTGACAGGACTCACACTGTTTTTATAGTTATTATAGTGTGTAACTAATGATTAATATTTGCTTGGGTGAGCTAATAAAAACAAATAAAATATAGTGTTTTTCAATATTTTGAAACAGTGATTCAATGCTTTAGCACTGCCAAATTAGAATTATTCTTAATCTAAAAATTTTCGTTTTAGTAAATTATGATTTGTCAGTTCTTCATGATAAGTACTATATATACATACCAAATATACTCTATAACTACACTGTTTAATAGAAGCATTTTTAAGGCACTGGGAAAAGTGAATTGTATCTGTTTGTTTTGAAAATTTATCAAAGTACCATTAAAAGTTTATACTGAAATGGTATGATTAGTATTTTAGACATAATTGCTTCATGGTAAAATAAATACCTTTTCACAAGACTATTGGAATAAAAAAGACACTTAAAAGCCTATAGTTTTAAGAATTGTTTTACTTAGAAATTTGACAAAATGTTTGTTAAAAAGTTATTCATTAAAATAATAGTCATTGAAACCAATGGTGATGCATACCTATGATCCCAGCATCTGGGAGGCTGAGGCAGAAGAATCACTGCAATTTTGAAACTAACCTGGGCTCCATAATGAGTTCAAAGCCAGTCGAACTACATAGTGAGATCCCATCTCAAGAAAAAAAAAAGATGATAATAATAATAATCATTGAACCAGATGTGGTGCCAAACAACTGTAATCCTAGCACTCTGCGAAATTGAGACAAGAGGCAAGTCTGAGGCCAGCTTGGGAAATTTAGGACTTCAGCAAGACTCTCAAGATAAAAAAAAATCAAGTGTAGGGCTAGAGCTCAGTAGGAAAACTCTTAAGATCAATCCCCATTACTGCAAAAAAAAAAAAAGTCATTAAAAAGTTTGTGTATAATGTAAATTAGAGACAATTCCATAATGGCGTAGTTCTGTTAGCAGTGTTTGGTTGTGTTAGAAAACCCTGGAGTATTCAAAACAGAACAAAGAAAATGTAGCTATTATTGGTGGCAAATTAACCCCACGGAGACTAGTAAAAAGTAAACATGGTGTGTGAAGAATCTATCAAACTTAATTAACAAGATATAATAAGATACTTAAAGATAAGTCCTGAAAAAGCCCTATTAACAGAAAATCATATTGGTTAAAAATTTTGATAATCACACTGCTGCAAGTGAAACAAAATATATCTTAAAGTTTTTGAAAAAAACTTTACACAAAGAGGAGCAATGTAAAAATTTTATAAAAGAAAAAATGAAATCATGACCTTGCTTCAAAATCATCTCTAATATCTAAGATTATTATGTTTTATATTTGTAAGTACATACATATATTTACTAAATATGCTTGAACTTGACCTATAAGTAACATGTGAAAATATTATTTCACTTGAGTAAAATAAGTTTTTTATAGAAAATGATGTATTTTTGAAGTATGTCTTAGAATTACATACCGTATTTTCTAATCTAGTCTTTTACTTTAATTTACACTTAATCCCTTAGTTTTTTCTTATGCTTGAAAGGAATAAGTTCATAACACTTATGTTTTAAGGCAAAGGAAGGTAGAAAATGAATGATAGAGTAGCAAACAGAAAAGGAGAAAAAGTAGGATGAGGAACAAGGCAAATGAAAAAAGGAAAAACAAAAAAGCAGGTTGGGTGTGATGGTGCTGATTTATAATCCCAACACTCAGAAGGCTGACACAAGAAAATCACAGCAAGTTCAAGGCCAGCATGGACTACACAGCAGACCCTCTCTCAAAAAAACACAGCAAACTGCTGTTCAGATTTTGGTTTGCTACTTAATCATCACTCACCCTTGGAAAAATTACATAAATTTTACAGGACTTTATTTTTATATATTATTAATCAGAATAATAATTTATATGATTAAGATTCACTATGAAATTATATATAATGTACTTAACGTACTTTGAAACAGTCCTAGGAAAATTGTAAACATTTAGGTGGAAGCAATTTGTCAATGTTTATTATTTTCTTACTCTGTGGGCTCTGGAGTCAGATTATCTAGGGCTCAAATGATGACTGTTTTGCTTATTAGGCTATGACATGGAGCAAATCATTTAAATGCCCTGTTTTTTTTAAACTAATGCTCATTAGTAGAACAGAACAATGATGTTTGAGTAAATTGATAACATGCATATAACATAGCTTTGTGATTTTTCATCCCATTACCTCTCTCTTTTCTACCTCCTCCTTTTAATCCCCTTCTCTATCTCCAAAGTCTACCTTTTAGTTTTCTATCATCTTTTTTATTTTTTGTTTGTTCATTTGTGTGTATTCAGGTTTCTTATAGAGAGTATATGCAGAATTTACCTTTATAATTGTGGCTTATTTCCTTTAACATGTCCCAAGTTCTGTCCATTTTTCTGTAAATGACATGATTTCATTCTTTTGTATGGCTGACTAATATTTCATTTCATGTGTATATCATATTTTATTTACTTGCTTGCCTGGTGAAAGGCATCTAGGCTGTTTCCACAGTTAGCTTTTGTGAATTGGGCCACCATAAATGTGGGAATATATCCCTATAATATATTGTCTTTAATTCTTTTGGGAGCATATCCTGAAGTGGTATAGCTTTATCATGGTAGAACTAAATAAGACATTTAATTAGCTGGAAAAACTCAACAGTTTTGGAATTTGCTTTTAGATCTAGAGGATGGTCAGAAACAAGCTATGGTTAGTGAACGGACAGAAGCCTTTACCACTGCTCGAAATTTATTGGCCTCTGGAGCCGACGCTATTGAAAGGATCATGTCTTCATACAAAGAGGTACTTGCATTTCTTGTCAGTTTGATTAAAATAAAATACACCTTATGAAAATGAAGCAAAATGTAAATTAACAGATACACTTAGTATTCTGCGAACATTTTTTCTCTACCAAAAACTGCTGAGTATAGTCAAGATGTACAGCATCTCTTAACTGTTGCTGCTAAACTCTTCATTATTCCTTTTTCTTGTCTGTAGTACATTTGTTTTTAAATTGTAAAAAAAAAAAAAATTCCTCATCTGTGGAGTCAACTCAGTGTGCCTAAATTTACGTTCTTGTTTCAGCATTGATGAATTATCTGACCTTGGCCAAGTTCTTTAACCTTTGTCTCCTGGTCTGTAAAATGGGAATAATGACAGTACTAACTTTGTAAGATTGTTGCAAGCTAATGCATGTAGAATACTTAAGACAATACATATTAAGCATTCATTAAGTGTTAGTGATGAATATTTACTTCTATATCTAGCAGACTTTAGCAGTCTTTCATTGATGAAATCTCATCAGTCACATATAAAAGCTTCTTGCTACTTTACCTCCTTTTTGCCTTTCATGCAGAGTTTGTGTTTTCCTTCTCTATCTTCATCTGTTCGTAAAACTGGTGTGTTACACATTATAATTTAGTGACACGCCTTATTTATTGGTATCAGTTTCCTGGTTTTTGTGTGTTTCTTTCATTGAGAAAGATGGTCTACATAAGAGATGAGTCACCTTTCACAGCACCCTAGTAGCAAGCTGTTTTCTTAGTAGAAGAATGGCAGGATGTTAACTCAAATTGGACAGCTTTAAGAATAGGACCAAGGAGGCACCTTACGGGCTGAGGCAGATTTATCTCATTTTATCGTATAATCTCACCTAGAAAAAAGCCCACATATGTAATATTTTTTCTTTAGCAATATGAATTATATTCGGCTTAAAATAAAGCTGGATTTGTACCAAGAGAATTTGAAACTTTTCACTGAGCTCACTTTCAAAATTACTCTCCTCTAGCACAGATATTTCTCTGGTTCAATAGGAATTTTGGCAATCAGTTTGGCTCAGAAACATTCATTTCATAAATATGGACAAAGGGCTTTTCTTTAACTTAAAATCTTCTATGTTGAATAGAAAAAAAAAGACACTAAGGATAAAAGATTGTCATTTCCTTGAATTTTTTGCAAACTTTCTGGCTGTTTGGAAGTTTGTCACATAAACAATGGCCAAGTTAGAAATTTGAGTAAAAGATCCTGAAGAGTAAATAATATTCTGAAATGGTCACATTTCATTTTGATCCATAACGAGGATGAATAGATTTTATGTGCTTTATAATCTAGTCAAACTTACATTGACATCTTGCTATATTACTCTGTTGATAAGCTTTTTGCTATTATTTATCAGTTGTATTAATACATATACTACATATAATATTATATAATAAAATAGAATATTTAACATAAAATGAAGCTTGCATAATTACATATTTATTTAAAAGTCTGTCTTATATTTTTATTTTCTCTTTGTGTATTGATTTTAGATTACTGAATTAGCAGGCTATACTGCCCGTGTGTACAATATGTTTTGGGTCTTTGATGAAGTAAAAAGAGGCATTTATAAGAGAATGGCTACCACTGAAGAGCCCGAAAATCACAGCAAGAATGAAAATCATATAGAATTACCCTTCAGTGACACACTGGAAATCAAAGGTATGAAACTCAACAGTTCCAGTATTATTTTGTCAATAGAGCCCCTATATTTATGTGTTATTTTATCAGTTAAACTTTTTTAAAAATAGATTTTAATAATTTCAAGGAAGCCACTTTTTGATTACCAACATTATTTAAATAGCTATCCCTAAAATTAGTATTGTAATTTAAGAGGCAATGACTAACAACTAACATTACCCTAAAAAAGCAATGCTATGTTTATTTACAAAAAATAGTTCTAGAGCTATATTCAGAAACAGCACATACAACAGAATGAAATGTTTCCTTTTTAAAATTTAGCTAACAAAAAGCAATGAATTTTTTTCCCTATGTTTTAAAAAAATACATTTTCCACATCTTAGTGCTCTTTTTTGCAGCATTGCATTTTTTTTCTGCAGGAGGGGTTATTTAGTGAAGCAAGTTAATTGTACAGTATATGGCAGGAATATAGTACTTAAGTTAGCTGTGCAATCATAATGATGTTGACATTAGATTATCATCAAATCATGTTTCTCAGAAAGATTTTCTAAATAGGTGTAAAACTATACAAGTGTACATTCGGCATTGCTTCATATATAGGTTTTTATATTTTTCTTTTGAGTTATTACTATAAATTACCCTTATAATTAAGTTTACTCAATATGCTGCATTTAACTTTATTTCATTGGCAGTAACTTGGGATAGCTTTTGTAACTGAAATTATTTCTTAATTATAGGAAAAGTTATTGATGTGGATCATGGAATTATTTGTGAAAATGTTCCCATAGTTACACCAGCAGGAGAAGTGGTGGCTTCCAGGCTTAACTTCAAAGTAAGATGATATTCAAGAATCTTCTGATTGTTGCCATCACACTAATACAAAACAACTTCAGAATTCATGTACCTTAAGTTAAATACTTGGAGGAGCATATGAAAAGGAGGGGAAATCAAGAAAGGTATGCACAGTGGCTCAATTAAAGAAGCAGTTATTTCCCCAGAAAGCAGAGAAAAAGATAATTTTGACTTCTGCTGCTTTATTACCATGTTCAAAATCAAAGTTATAGTGCACTGAGCCTATGCAAGGTAACTTTGGGGAATAATAATAATTTTTCTCAGAAACTAGCATGTAAAAATAAATTTGAATATTTCCTTTATAGAAATTTCTTAAAAATGCAAGATTAAAATGTAACATACTTACTAAAATATGAAGGCAAAGGTCAAGTTTAATTAGTAAGTTTAATTCTGCTACTATATGTTCTCTTAATTTTAATTCCTACTTAATCACACTTACTACTAGAAATACTCTTAACATTCATGGATTCAAATTTAGTTGTTAATTTTATTTAGAATAATTTATTATTAATATCCCATATCCTAATTACAAAAACCAAGATATAAAATATTTTTTAAAAACTAAAATTCTGATTTAAAATATCGCATAATTCAGGCATACATTTTGTTTGCCTATAGTAGAGGCAGTTGAGCTTAGTTCAAACAAGTTCAAAAATTGAACTTGATAATCAGATTTAAAACATGACAGTACATGACCTAATGATTTTATAATGGACCTTAGTCTGGGAGTAATTATTAAAGATACATTTGCAAATGAGATCAGTTACTAGAAGTGGAAAGGAGAGGGTAAAATCCACTAAACCACAGAAAATTAAATACTCATGCTATGCATCATTATTGACTTATCTGTCAATAGCTTAGCAATTTGTAATTTATGATTTTTGCATACTTTTTCCTTTTGGTCTAGTTAGGTATTATAATATCCATTCTTGTTGCCTCGTTTATTTAAGTAAATAGAGTGAAATCATTTTTTTTCTGTCCCTTTTTTTCTTTTTCTTTCTTTTGTTCTCCCCATACTTCAAATCAAGAAGGTAAATTTTTTTTTCTTTTTTTTGCTGTGTAAAAGTTTAGGGAAGTACATGCCCAGTCATCACATTTATGAACCAGAAAGGATCATGTGTCACACTTTGTGTGTGGAAAAATCCAGAACTTTGTTTCTTTTCTATAAAATAAACTAAAAATACTTAATCTATTGGAAGAATTTTATAAATTTTAAAGTCCTACAAAGATATACATTTTTATAGTATACTTCTTGGTAATTACTTATTCTAACTCAGAGAAGAACTTATATTTTAGTTCTTAGGTTCCTAAAACTTGATAGAAAGTTTTATTTCTTCTGCCTTGATTGGAAAATAAGTAGGTTTCTATAAGAGGTTTGCATCCTTTTGTTGGCTTTCAAAATTAGAAATATAATTTTCAGAAGAATATTCAATGCATGGGAAATCTTTTTCTACAGAGCTCATTGTTTATAGTCATTAGATAACTTATGCTGAGAAAATACGAATATAAAAAGTTTTTAATTGCCACCCCAAAAAGTGTTAAATTTCTGTAAATTCCTAATAGAAAACAGCCCTATTAAAATAGTCTTGGGAATGTATTTCTCACTTTCTCAGATACCTTTAACAAATTATTTGAAAGTATTTATGCTTCTACAAATTTAAATTTCTTCAATTTTCTCTAGTGAAAGAGCACAAGCAAATCATAAATTTAATTCTTTCCAGTTTCATCCCAGAATTTTCAGGGGATACTAGCAATATAACACTCTTTCATCTTTGAACTTTCAATGTCATGTGTTCATGACACTTGGATATTTGTATCCATTGAATACAGTTACATTTGCAGTTATACTATAGATTTCTACTTCCTGTGGATTCTACATGTATTCATTTTATATCACTTATTATAAAATATTATTTGATCTTAGGAGATTTAAATAAAAATTTTAATGCCTCTTTCTTGTTCTTGATACTACCCTTTAATACCTTAGTAAGGAAAGTCTCCCTATTGAGTGAAATGGAAACTCATGAAGTTTAACTGTTTAAATCATAATGTAGAAGATAAAAAGAAGTCTCCAATAGACAATAAACAACTTCTGTTTTATTGAGGAATACTACGTACATGGAATATTTATATATATATACATAAGATATATCCTCTGTGTCTATACTGCTGTTTCTTAGTATCTTTGAGGGATACTTGCAGAACCACATGCAGATAACAAAATCCACTGATGTTCAAGTCATTTAATTGAAATGGTACACAGAAAGAAGTCTGCACATGTTCAGTGCAGGTGCAGTTTTGCCTCAAATATTTTTAATCCACAGATATTTGAATCCTTTGAGGTGGAACCTGTGCATATGGATGGCTGATAGTATGTTGTAATTCGTCCTTAGGCATAAAACTAAATTGCAGTTCTTTCTTTTCTGTCAGTTTTCTAAACATATTTTCTACATCTGTGAATAAAGCAGAATTAGAGTCATCTTCTCTCATTGATTATACATTTTTGTGATTTCTGTAGCATTTCAGACTACTGAAGCTGGCTCTTTAAATAACTGTGCTTTATAGCATCATTGACTTTATACTTTAAGTCACTATAAATGAGGTCAAATATTAATCTAAGTACACTAAACTTTAATATATTTACATTTTCTGATTTGTCTTATTTGCAATGATTCTATTTCTTAGATGTGTGTATATCTGATAATAATACCTCAAGCCAATGCTTATTTCAAAGGAATCTCTTTTCTTTGTAATTAAATTATTTTATGACGCTTTTGGGCTTAAAGAATTATCAAAGCCTAACTTGATGTGCTTGCCCCAATACTGTATTTTCCTTTGATTTCTTGTTGATTCATGGTGATCATGTAATTAAATGCTTTTTTAAAAATTGAATCACTTTTAAATGCTACCAAATAAAATTATTTTTAATTGTTTCAGTTTTTAATTTTATTTTTGATGTTAGGTACAAGAAGGAATGCATCTTTTGATAACTGGTCCCAATGGTTGCGGGAAAAGCTCTCTCTTTAGAATTTTAAGTGGGCTCTGGCCTGTGTATGAAGGAGTCCTTTATAAACCACCTCCTCAACATATGTTCTACATTCCACAAAGGTAAGTAATTTTTCTATATCATGAGAAAAAATATCCTTTTGCTCTGGAATTATTCTGATTCCGTAAGCTCTTCTTTAAAGATACATATCTTTAAGGATATTTTCATTGAGAGAAGCTACTAAGAAAATTAAAATTAGATTATCCCAATAAGTTTTGTTACTGCTGTGATTTTAATAGTCTGTGGAACTGTACCACTTATTTTCATTTTCACATCTGACTAGACATAATGAATACTGAAAAACTGCAGATGTTAGGCTCAAGAAATAGCAGACGATTTCAAAGGATACATTGATTGCCTCAGATGTTACATTCTTTCTTCTCACAAGAAATATAGTACTGAGATAGTATGCAGATTTCTCCATCAAGCTTCCTGTATTCATATATTCTAAAATTTGTCATTTATCTTTAAGCACCATAGTAAAGTAACCTTTTTATGATTATGCTATATGATTAATTCTTTTAGCTACCTTAATCAAAATAGTTTTAAGAATGAGTATAATATATCACAGTCTTTTAAAATCTTTAGCCAACCTTGTAACAATTTAGAAATGTCTAAACACAAAGTTATACACTTGAGAATTTGGAGTATTTCTTACGGGTAACAGAAAAGTGAGTTTTGAAGAAAAGACACTTCTTATATTAATCTGGTCTAGTAATTTTTCCATGAGTTTTCATTGTTGGTTAATCAGACATCACATAGTGTGTTTCCACTGGGTCATAACGTAGTTCTGTGGAACCTTTTAGCGTTCCAAGGCTGGAAGTACAGTACTAGTGCGCATATAAAAGTTACATCAAGGATAGCACAATCTTGTGTCTTTTCTGCCCCTTTGTCTTTGTCAAAAGGCATTGCCACCATTCTGCCCACTAGTCTAATTTGTAGACCTTATGTAGCAGTTAGTCAGATGAGGTTTTTAAATAATTGTCTTTAAGACATATAAAGGTTGATGTTATCTGTTGTATAGAAAGATGAAGAACTCCATTAGCTGAAAATTTGAACATTAGCACTGTCATGCTGGTTAAACACAAAATATATTGCATCTTGTGACATAAGAATCATTGTTTCTTCCTGTCTATGCTTTATAATCCTTTGTGATAATTTGTGATTCCGAAAGCTAAATTATACTGCCAAAAGTATGTGTTTCAGACATTAATACATTAAGTATTTTAATGTATTAATTTTAATTTTGTATTTAAATTATAAAATGTGGAATCATGAGGAAAATATCCTGTTGTAGAATTCTGTTCTTTTAATGCAAATAAAAGTATATAAATGCATTTTATACATTTTAGTTATAATAGATTTCATATATAATATGAAAGATTTAGTAACTTGAGTGTACCTTTGACTTGAATGTTATAAGACATTTCCAAACAGTGAATAAATTCATGGAAGTTTATAAATTCATTTTGTCTACAGAGTGAACTATGTTATTTTGAAACAAATATAAATCACTGGGAAAGTTTGTCTTAGTTATGAAATTTGTTGTTGCCTAAGCAGAAAGGTCAATTACAATCTAGTTAAGAAAAAAATAATAATGAGGAATCTGTTTTGAAGGCTAAAGTTTTTTTATAATGACCATTTTTTAAAGTTATTACCTTAATAGTTTCTAGAATCATAAAAATTTGTATTTGTTTTAAATTTTTATAGGACCTTACCCAATCAAAAAATGTATTTAAATAAATATTTGAACCATAAGTCTAAATGTAGTATTCACTTCATATATTCTAATAGCTGCCAATTTTTTTCAAGTAAATTTGAAAATAATCTTATATGATTTTATTAAAAGAAAAAATATATGGTCCATTTAAAAAATATTTATCAATAATCTTAATTTCACAAGTCATAAAACAAACTTATATTAATTGCCCTGTATTCACTTTTTGTCATAAAAATACTTTTTGGTAGCAGATAGATCTCTTTATTCTTTGATCAAATGCACATGTATATTACTTATTGCTTTCAGGAGGAAAATGAAATAGTTTTATGAACATAGGATTCTAATAATGTCATAGAGTATATGAAGAAAAAAGTGAACTAGCAAAGAAAAAGGCTCTAATTAACATGTTAAACCACTTATTTTCTAACTAGATTATTAGAATGTTACTGTGACTGGAAAATCTGAATTCCTAGGAGACTGTGAAATAACCTCAGAGTTTTTCCCAGTAAATATCTTCTAACACTGTAACAGTATCAATAACAAGAACTTAGATTAAAAGAATATCTGGGCCTTAGTTCAAGAACAAATAGCTGTGCAATACAAATTAGTTCCAAAACAGTTTCTCTACACCTTACCTTCAGTAATGGTGGGATAAGAGCATTTAATACATTTTTAAAAAGAAATATTCTATCTAAAATGTAGGTCAGCCACTCTAAATCTATAGGATGATATATGGTGAGATAATCAGTTTTGCCCCAATAGTATCTTTAAAAAATATTTGGGCATTTTAGTCTGTTGAAGATACATTTTGTGAGCAATGAGGCTGTACTTCTTAAAATAATGGTTGAAACTCACTGTCCCTGCTATATTGGCTTTGCTGACCCCCAAGCATGGTCTTTCACTTAAAGATGGATCCTGAATTCTTTTGTCAATTCTTTCTCTGTCTTCTCTAGGTCCTAAGGATAGACTTATAGTCCCTTGCTCTTATTTCCATTAATCTACTAATTTATGGCCTGTTATTATATTTCCCTGAAAGTACGACTATATCTTATATTAATTTTTGCTCCAAATGATGCAGTAGGGCCTAATTCAGGAGATATTTTTTTTCATATCCAACAATCCACATTTATTCACATACAAAAATCTACATTTATGCAAATAAAGTCATGTCATCATTTCTGGAACATCATCATAATTCTCCAAACCCCAGTTTCAGCCTATATTTCTTGTGACTCCATTTCCTATAGAAACACTGGTTTGAGTCTCCAGCAATGGAGCTCCTCAAAAAGAAGCACTTCTTGTCTATGTAGCCTGCATGTAGTGCATTAGTACCACAGATGTCAGGGATTTTATCCTATGACTTCTTCGCCCAAGACATGATCTCTTGTAGGCTGGGCTCCACAAGGTTTCCATTAAATCAAGAGTTAATTGAAGATTTAGGAGATAGATGTGGCAACAAAGATGATGAAAGTTAAGAATGACGGTTCACACAAAAATGATGAAAAATTGCAGGCACCAAAACTCAGAAAATATTTATTTCACAAGACTGCACTAAACCATGTCTGTTACAACACATAAATACTGAATTAAGATTCATTTTAGACACAATCATGTCCATTCATTATCAAATATGCATATTATTCATTCATTGTGTCTGTACTCTGATTGGTCATTTGGCTTTTAAGTCTTAAGTTCATATTTGCATAGGAGTTTGCCTCTTGTCCAAAAGTGCCCACTTTGGTACTTACAAATACTTACTTATAATTTATATTACCATTTATTTTAAGTATTGATGTCAATACTATTGCATATTTATATTTAATTATATATTAGAACTATTTTATAATTCATTATGTCCATCATGTGATACAATGGGAACTAAGTTCATGGGTCTGGCAGACATTCCTAACTGGAGTTTTTTTAGGGGGTACAGCTTCTATTATGAGCATCCTTAAAAATCACGGTGCTTAGATCTTAGATCTTATTTTCTTTCTTTTTTTTTTGTCTTTTTCCTATTTACTGGTACCCAGGATCGAACTCATCATGACTGCCTGCTTGCCAGGCAGGCACTTACGCCGCTGAGCTAAATCCCCAGCCCCTAGATCTTATTTTCAAGGAAATATCATATTGTAGTTGCTTACACATCCCAGAGAGTTTCACTTCTCCAATATTAAAGCCCACAAAGAAACGCTTTTATGTATGCATTTCATTCACCTGCTAAGAAAATATTATACTATGCTAAGATTCACCAAAATGAGAAACTGAATATATGATGGGATTTGAGGGAGCAGACGGTATAAAAGGGAGAAAAGGAAAGAAAAAAAGACAGAATGACAGGAGATAGTTGGTATTTACTGACAATAGATAACAGAATTTTGCATTCTTTCATATTTTTGTTGTAGTCTTCTAGAGGATTTTTTGTATACATAATAATGTGCCTCTCCTCTACAAGCATCTCTAATTGGGTGCCAGCCCATTATGTAATTCTATTTCACATGCCCTTTATCTCACTACTGTTTCTTGGCAGAAATATCTAAGGTCAGAAATTTTAACCATGGTCGTCTTATTATTCAAAATGACATCTCCAAATACTAAGTCAAATAAGATCTGAAATAGATTCAGACTTCCCACAACTGTGTATGAAAAGGCAACCTATACACACTTCTTTCCAAGACTTTGTAGTATGAGAAGTAATGGTTTGGGAAAGTGAAAGAAAGATTGCTGGCGTAGAGATGTAGCTACATTCTGGCTAGCATGCACAAGGCCCTGTGTCTAATCCTCAATGCTCGGAAAAAAAAGTGTTACAAAGATTGAAATAAATTGACCTAACTTTTTCTTTTTCTGTTTTCTTTTCTTTCCTTTTCTGTACTGGGACTAGAACTCAGAGCATTATACATTCTAAACACACACTCCATCATTAATCTACACCCCTGGTACTGACCAAACATTTTTAGAAAGAAAGCCCCCCCCCTCCAAAAAAGGGAAGGCTTGGTCTGATACTGGGCTTCGAATCTTAAGGCAATTACTATACTTTTCCTACCATTCTAAGAAGTTTTACTGAAGCCCTGCTATAAGATGCTATGGATATTAATGATTGCTAAGACAAAATCCCTTTCATTGTGGTGATTATATCTCATGTTATTATTGATGAGTTCTACCAGCCTGGGGCTTAGCTATCTCTAACATGACATTTGCCCAGCTTGGCACTGGGCCCCAAGAAACAACTTATTAAAAACAAAATATGCAACCAACTACAATAAAAATGATAATTGTGGCTCTGGAAAGGCAAAATATAAATATTCAAAATGAGGAAAAGTTAAACAGAATGATTTGCCCTGGATT